AGTGTGTGAAGGGACCAGAGGAGGAGAGCGTTGGTGAAGAGGAGAGGCGCCGATTTCACTCGTTGGTGGGCAGCCTCATGTATGCGGCGGTAAACACCCGACCGGACGTCGCGTTTGCTACCGGGCAGCTGGCTAGGGTTGTGCAATGCCCTAATGAGGAGCAGGTAGCAGCTGGAATGAGGGTGGCCAAGTATCTTGGCCAAACACCGACCGTTGGGCTGCAATACTCGGCGGCGGCACAAAGGCGCCAAAAGGGCGCGGATGGTGTTGAACCCGGGCGTTTGTTCCTCACCGCCTACTCGGATGCTTCATATGCATCAGAACCAGAGGACATGACAAGTGTGGGAGGCTTCATATGTTGTGTTGGTGAAGGCCCAACTGCTTGGGAGAGCAAGAAGCAGGTTGACCAAGCTTTGAGCTCGGTGGAGTCCGAGTACATGGCACTCTTCCGTGCCGTACGGGAGATTGTGTGGCAGCGGCGTTTGTTGGCTGAATTGGGGGAGGAGCAGCAAGGACCTACCCCACTGTACTGTGACAGCCAGGGTGCCATTGCTCTTGCTAAGAACCCTGTGTTGCATGGACTCACGAAGCACATGAGGGTGAAGTGGCATTGGACGAGGAGCATGGTAACCGCGGGTGAAGTTGAGTTGCGCTACGTGAAGACCACGGGGCAGCCGGCTGACATGATGACCAAGAGGCTGGTGGAGCAGAAGCATTGGAAGTGTTGCAAGCTGGCTGGGATGGCTCTGAACTGAGAGAGCAACATATCCTAAGGCCAACAATCCGAGGGGGAGTTTGTTGGTGCAACCCTACGGTTTGCACTCGGCTTGTTGTCCGTGTGCGTGAATGTGTGTGTGTATGGAATGGTATGAGGGCATGGGATAATATATATCTCATGCTTATAATTGTGTGTGAATGTTGAGTCATGATGTCGAGTGTGTGTGTCGAGTCAATAGCGAGTTATCGCTAGACGCGTGTTACGCGGTCGTTTGTGTCTCGCGCGCGGTTTCTATTTTGTCGTGCGCGGTTTCTATTTTGTCCTGTGTCGAACGTTCGGCGTGTCGCAGGTGTGTGCAGCAGACCCATCAAGAACTCAAGGATGAGTTTGTGATGAAGAGCCCGAGCCTTGGTGTCAAGCCTCAAGTGATTTCGAAGCTCGCCAAAAGGGTACACCTCAAGATATTGAAGATAGTTACATTACTTTGTGTAGTGTAACATTTCACTTGGTGTAGGCCCTAGTGAAGGGTATTTTCGAGACCCTTCGTGGTTGGGGACAGTGTGGCACTGTTCCACATCACTTTACCTCGGCTTTTGGGGTTTGTAGGAGCTGGGAGTCATTCCCAACTCGTAACTCTTCCTATCTTGTGTTCTAAGACTATAGTGGCTGCCATAGTACCGTTCGTTCAAACCGACGCTATGTCGTCAATTCTTGATCAAATCGTGCAATCTAAATTGGTAATTGTAGACGACGTGAAGACGCTCCAGATCCAATTTGAATCAAGTCCTTTGCAGCTGTGAGCAGAACGCTACCAACGTTTGAAGCCGCTGTGCAGAAATCCGTCTGTGCTCTCTATCTTTCGTTTTAGGCACATTCAAGCCTATTGTGACTATAACAGACATGTGGCAGCTGCCCATCATCCCTTGGAATGGGAAACCACCAGCATCGGCAAAGGCAGCGGCAGCGGCTAAGGCAACTGCGGGAGGAGAGGAGACTGCACCAACTGCTGGGGCCCTGGATGCAGTCAAGAAGGTGCAGCAGCCACAGCAATCACATGGTGAGGTGCTTGCTGGTATGGATGCAACGGCTGCATGGGCAAAGGCTTCGTCTGGGAGTGGTGAGGCCGATTGGGAGACGTGGCACGAGAGGCTGTGCCACATCAACATTCCTATGCTGCAGAAGTTGGTGAAGGATGGGAGCTTGAAGGGATTGGAGGTGAAGGGGGCAGCGAAGGAGATTGGGAGCTGCCCTACATGCCTTGAGACAAAGTTCACCAAGTTCCCTTTCAGCAGCAGCACGGGACCAGCCAAGGTTCCACTCGCGCTTGTGCACATGGATGTGGTGGGCCCCACAAGGGCCCTTTCTCTCTCAGGCAGCCGCTACTTCTTGACCATTGTGGACGACCACACACGTGCAGTGTGGGTCTACCCTCTGAAGACTAAGGGGGAGGTGGCAGCGGCTGTTCTCAAGGAGTGGATGCCGAGAGCACAAAGGGAGAGCGGACTCAAGGTGAAGGTTATCCGCACCGACAACGGAGGAGAGTTCATCGGCGCTGATTTTGAGAAGGAGCTGAAGCGGAAGGGGATCCAGCATCAGCTCACAGTGCCCTACAACCCGCAACAGAACGGTGTGGCTGAGCGGTTCAACCGGACCCTGCAGGAAGGTGCTCGCACTCTCCTTGGGCGTGCAGGGCTGCCAGATCCGTTTTGGGTGACTGCACTGCGGCAGGTCGCCCTTGTGAAGAACAGGGTGCTGGCAACAGTGGGGGACAAGCAGTGGGTCCCCTACACCAAGTGGTATGGGAGTGCACCAGCTGTGAACATGCTGAGAGCCTTTGGATGCATGGTGGTGTTTCATGTGCCTAAGGAGAAGAGGGGAAAACTGGAAGCTTCTGGGAGATGGGGTGTGCACTTGGGGCTTGCTAAGGATCACAAGGGCTGGCTGATTTGGGACTTGACCAGCCAGCAGCTGACTGTGTCAAGGGATGTGAAGTTCCTTGAGTCCTTGTACTATAAGGAGTGGAAGCAGCAGCAGCAGAAGCTCCCTACTACACCGCTGATCATTGAGGCTGATGAGGTGCAGCGGCCTTCGAGGCAAGTGCAGGTCACTGTCTCAGAGGAGGAGATTTCTGGGGTGACTGAGGATGGGGGAGAACCTGAGGTGGAGGAGCAGCAGCAGCAGCAGCAGCAGCAGCAGCAAGATGCTCCACAAGGTGCCGCACGTCCGGCTGACCGTCCAAGGAGGGATGTGCGCCCTCCTAACCGGCTGACCTATCCGAGCTTTGGGAAGCCAAGTGTGGTAAGGGCTGGGAGTGTGGCTGAGCAGTGTGATGAGGAGGAGATAGCACACTGCTACTGGGCAGCCGTCCCTGAGCCCAAGACACTTACCGAGGCCTTGAGTGGGCCCGATGCTGAGAAGTGGAAGCAGAGTGTGAAGGAGGAGTATGACTCTTTGCTGGAGAACGAGACGTGGGAGCTGTGTGAGCTGCCACCAGGGAAGAAGGCCATTTCTTCCAAGCTGATTTTCAAGCACAAGTACGGACCTGATGGGGAGCTGACCCGCTACAAGTCAAGGCTTGTGGCTAAGGGGTTCTAGCAGACAAAGGGGAAGGATTTTGATGATATCTTTGCTCCTGTGGGGAAAGGCACTACACTGAGGACGATGTTGGCAATGGCTGCAAACCGTGGCTGGAAGATCAAGCAGATGGACATAATCACTGCCTTCCTCAATGGAATCATTCTGGAGGAGCTGTACATGCTGCAGCCTGAGGGGTTGGACGATGGGAGCGGCAGGGTGTGCAGGCTGAAGAAGGCCATCTATGGCCTGAAGCAGGCTCCTCGCGCATGGTACCACAAGCTGGAGGAGACACTGCTGGCCGGGGGGTTCAAGAAGAGCGAGTGTGATCACAGCCTGTTCCTGCTGCAAGAGAAGGAGCAGTTCCTCATGCTCCTGGTGTACGTGGACGACTTCCTGCTCTTCTCTGAGTCGTCTGCGATGATTGAACGTGTGGAGGAGATGCTGGAAATGCAGTTCAAGTGCTCCAAGATGGGAGATGTGAAGTACTACCTTGGGATGCATGTGGAGAGGGACCTTGACAAGGGAGTGTTGAGGTTGCACCAGAGAAAGTATTGTGAGGGGCTGGCTGAGAAGTATGGGCTGCAAGATGCAGGAAAGCCAGCCACCCCACTGCCTTCGGGGTTCACTGTGGAGCCCTGTGCTGATGAGGAGGTGGTGGGGGAGAGTGACAGGAAGTTGTTTCACTCCATGGTGGGGGCACTCAACTATGCAGCTGACCACACGCGGCCTGACATTGCCTTTGCTACATCTAGGCTTGCGAGTGTGGTTTCATGCCCAAGTCATGAGCAGCTGGAAGCGGCCAAGAGTTTGGTCCGCTATGTGAGCGCTACAGCATCAGTGGGCTTGGAGTACAGTGCTGTGCGACAGAGGCTGCAGAGGGGTGCAGCTGATTTGAGCAAGGGGGAGATGTGCTTGACTTGCTACACCGACGCTAGCTTCAACTCAGTGAAGACGGATGGCACCAGCATTGGAGGCTATGTGTGCCTCTTTGGAGGTGGTGCAGTGAGCTGGCGCAGCAAGAAGCAGAACGAGGTGGGGCTGTCCTCGTGTGAGACAGAGTACATGGCCCTGCATCATGGGGCAAAGGAGGTGGTGTGGCTGAGGCGTTTGTTGGAGGAAATCGAAGTGTGTCAGAGGGAGCCGACTGTGATGTCCTGTGACAATGAGTCGGCGGTGAAGCTTGCGAAGAATGCCTGTCTTCATGGCTAGACAAAGCACATCAGGCCAAAGTGGCATTGGACAAGGAGGCTCCTGGACAAGGAGGTGCGGCTGGAGATTGTGAAGACCCAGCAGCAGGCGGCTGACATTCTCACCAAGCGCCTGGCAGAACCTGAGCATTGGAAGGGCATGAAGCTTGCGGGAATGAGTGTGCATTGAGGGTGCATGCTTGAGTTATGGCATGTGGGATGATGGTTGGCAGCCAGAGGGGGAATTTGTTGTGTGATGCAACCATATGCATTCACGTCTGTCTGCCTCCCATCATGTGTTTGTGCGTTGCATGCGTGGTGTGAGCGTGTGCAAGAAATTTGTGTCTTGTGTGGTTTGGATTGTCTGTGTGTGTGTGAATTTTATTTGGCTTGAGCAGATATCTGAAGTGATTCCTCTGCTCAAAAGCTTTCCGACGAACCAAGAATCGTCGCGATCGGAGCACAACCAAGAAAGTTACGAACATTGGAGTTCGTATGCTTATATATTTTGGTTGCAGCTACTTTGGAAGTTGTGGGGTTGACTCATTATGGGGTATAGACTTTTGGGGTTGGGAAATTCGAACCCATCACTGTAGATGCTGCCAAGAGGTTGGGTGAAGCCAAACCAGGTTGGCAAGTGTGGCCAAGTTGGGGTGAGGTGGATGGCATGGGTTGGAAAGTGACAAAGGTCAAAGTTTGTTGCCTATGGGGAAGGGAATTGTGTGGTATGGGGTTTCCTTGGTTGGGGACTCCCTTGGGGCCTTCCCTCTCGTCCTCCTCTTCCCTTCCTACCTGGTTTAGTGCTACTCCAATGTTCTTTTGTGGGACTTGTTGAGTTAATTGTGATTGAGTTAAATTTCTGTGGCAGCATACCCCCTAGTGTGCCGAAAAGCATAACTCGAGATATACTTCATATTTTGATACGATTAAAATTGTGAAATGTAGCCACGGTCTAGGGCTACAATATATTCGAAATTCGTGGGATTCTAACAGTGCACCTTTCGTCGACAACGTTTCTTGTGAAGTCGACGTTTCTGTCCAGAATTCTAAGCCAACGATTTTGTGATAATTTCGGCTCCTAAGCTTCTAGACTCCGTCCTTAGTCTCTAACAGGCATGAGAGGGGGAAGGCATGAGAGGGGGAAGACATGAGATTGGGAAGGCATGAGAGGGGGAAAGCATGAGAGGGGGAAGGCATGAGAGGGGGAAGGCATGAGAGGGGGAAGGCATGAGAGGGGGAAGGCATGAGAGGGGGAAGGCATGAGAGGGGGAAGGCATGAGAGGGGGAAGGCATGAGAGGGGGAAGGCATGAGAGGGGGAAGGCATGAGAGGGGGAAGGCATGAGAGGGGGAAGGCATGAGAGGGGGAAGGCATGAGAGGGGGAAGGCATGAGAGGGGGAAGGCATGAGAGGGGGAAGGCATGAGAGGGGGAAGGCATGAGAGGGGGAAGGCATGAGAGGGGGAAGGCATGAGAGGGGGAAGGCATGAGAGGGGGAAGGCATGAGAGGGGGAAGGCATGAGAGGGGAAAGGCATGAGAGGGGGAAGGCATGAGACCAAGTGCTTTCTTGGACCAAGTGATTTCTTGGACCAAGTGCCTGCTTGGAACAAGTGCTTGCTAGGACCAAGTGCTTGCTTGGACCAAGTGCTTGCTTGGACCAAGTGCTTGCTTGGACCAAGTGCTTGCTTGGACCAAGAGTTTTCTAGGACCAAATGCTTTCTTGGACCAAGTGCTTTCTTGGACCAAGTGCCTGCTTCGACCAAGTGCTTGCCTGGACCAAGTGCTTTCTTGGACCAAGTGCTTTCTTGGACCAAGTGCTTGCTTGGACCAAGTGCTTGCTTAAACCAAATGCTTGCTTGGTCCAAGTGCCTGCTTGGACCAAGTGCTTGCTTGGACCAAGTGCTTTATTGGACCAAGTGCCTGCTTGGACCAAGTGCTTGCTTGGACCAAGTGCTTGCTTGGGCCAAGTGCTTTCTTGGACCAAGTGCTTTCTTGGACCAAGTGCTTGCTTGAACCAAGTGCTTTCTTGGACCAAGTGCTTGCTTGGTCCAAGTGACTGCTTGGACCAAGTGCTTGCTTGTACCAAGTGCTTTCTTGGACCAAGTGCCTGCTTGGACCAAGTGCTTGCTTGGACCAAGTGCTCGCTTGGACCAAGTGCTTCCTTGGATTAAGAGCTTTCTTGGACCAAGTGCTTGCTTGGACCAAGTGCTTGCTTCGACTAAGTGCTTGCTTGGAGTAAGTGCTTGCTTGGACTAAGTGCTTGCTTGGACCAAGTGCTTGCTTGGACTAAGTGCTTGCTTGCACGCTCTGCTGCGTTGCTAGCACGCTCTGCTGCGTTGCTACGCGCTCTGCTGCGTTTTTAGCACGCTCTGCGGCTTTGCTAGCACGCACTGCTGCGTTGCTTGCACGCTCTGCTGCATTGCTTGCACGCTCTGCTGCGTTGCTAGCACGCTCTGCTGCGTTGCTAGCACGCTCTGCTGTGTTGCTAGCACGCTCTGCTGCGTTGCTAGCACGCTCTGCTGCGTTGCTTGCACGCTTTGCTGCGTTGCTAGCACGCTCTGCTGCGTTGCTAGCACGCTCTGCGGCGTTGCTAGCGCGCTCTGCTGCGTTACTAGCTCGCTCTGCTGCTGCGTTGCTAGCACGTTCTGCTGTGTTGCTAGCACGCTCTGCTGCGTTGCTAGCACGCTCTGCTGCGTTGCTAGCATGCTCTGCAGCGTTGCTAGTACGCTATGATGCGTTGCTAGCACGCTCTGCTGCGTTGCTTGCACGCTCTGCTGCGTTGCTATCACGCTCTGCTGCATTGCTAGCACGCTCTGCTGCGTTGCCAGCACGCTATGCTGCGTTGCTAGCACGCTCTGCCGCGCTCTTGCTGCGTTGCTAGCGCGCTCTGCTGCGTTGCTAGCACGCTCTGCTGCGTTGCTAGCACACTCTGCTGCGTTGCTTGCACGCTCTGCTGCGTTGCTTGCACGCTCTGCTGCGTTGCTAGCACGCTCTGCTGCGTTGCTTGCACGCTCTGCTGCGTTGCTAGCACGCTCTGCTGCGTTGCTAGCACGCTCTGCTGCATTGCTAGCACGCTCTATTGCGTTGCTAGCACGCTCTGCTGTGTTGCTAGCATGCTCTGCTGCGTTGCTAGCACGCTCTGCTGCGTTGCTTGCACGCTCTGCTGCGTTGCTAGCACGCTCTGCTGCGTTGCTAGCATGCTCTGCGGCGTTGCTAGCACGCTCTGCTGCGTTGCTAGCACGCTCTGTTGCTGCGTTGCTAGCACGCTCTGCTGCGTTGCTAACACGCTCTGTTGAATTGCTAGCACGCTCTGCTGCGTTGCTAGCACGCTCTGATGCGTTGCTAGCACGCTCTGCTGCGGTGCTTGCACGCTCTTCTGCGTTGCTATCACGCTCTGCTGCATTGCTAGCACGCTATGCTCCTCAGCAAGCACTAGGACCAAGTGCTTGCTTGGACCAATTGCTTTCGTGGACCAAGTGCTTGCTTGGACCAAGTGCTTGCTTGTACCAAGTGCTTTCTTGGACAAAGTGCCTGCTTGGACCAAGTGCTTGCTTGGACCAAGTGCTTTCTTGGACCAAGTGCTTGCTTGGACTAAGTGCTTTCGTGGACCAAGTGCTTGCTTGGACCAAGTGCTTGCTTGGACCAAGTGCATGCTTGGACCAAAAGCTTTCTTGGACCAAGTGCTTTCTTGGACCAAGTGCTTTCTTGGACCAAGTGCTTTCTTGGACCAAGTGCTTCAGCCAAGCAACTTCAGCTTGGTTCGCGCGCACAGAAAAGTTCGGCGCCCTTGATGACGGCCGTGCCTGCCCACAAATGCTAAGGAAGCGCATGGATCCCTATAAGCGTAGGGAAAAGCATCGAATGACCCGAATATTGTTGTATATTCGTGTGGCTCATGTTCAATTACACCTTCCAGAGCAACATCATCTCGGTTCGCACGCACAGAAAAGTTCAGCGCCCGCGATGACGCCGTGCTTGCCGACAAATGCTAGAGAAGCGCATTGATCCATATAAGCGTAGGGGAAAGCATCGAACGACCCAAAATTTGTGCATATTCGTGTGACCCATATTCAAATACACCTTGCAGAGCAACTTCAACTTGGTTCGCGTGCACAAAAAAGTTCGGCGCCCGCGATGAATGCCGTGCCTGCCGACAAATGTTAAGGAAGTGCATTGATCCATATAAGCGTAGGGAAAAGCATCCGACGACCCGATTTATGTTGCCAATTCGGGTGGCCCATGTTCGAATACACCTACCAGAGCAACTTCAGCTTGGTTTGCGCGCACAGAAAAGTTCGGCGCCCACGATGACGCCGTGCTTGCCGACAAATGCTAGAGAAGCGCATTGATCCCTTTTAGCGTAAAGAAAAGCATTCAACGACCCGAATTTTGTTGCCAACTCGGGTGGCCCATGTTCAAATACACCTTCCATAGCAACATCAGCTTGGTTCGCGCGCACAGAAAAGGTCGGCACCCACGATGACGGCCGTGCCTTGGTTTAATTTAAAGGAAATGGGAATATATATGGTATTCACTGTACGTGTACAGAGAGAATAATGTGTCGGCTGGTAAGGTCAGTATGCACGCTTGCGTGTAGGTACAAGGCGGAGCTGAAACTCTGAAATCTGCCAAATTATGTGGATCGGAAAGGTTTTAACCAAGTGTTGTTGAAGTAGAAGGCCTAATCTAGTGGATTGGCAAGAATATGGCACTAACTGCATCTCTACAAACATACGTAATGCGCTGGTCAGTTTGGTCGGTATGCGCGCCTGTAGTGCAGGTACCATGTACGACTGGAATGTATATATCTGCCAAATTACATAGATCCGATTGGTCATGGTAGGGGGGTGGGTAATGGTATCAGTAAAAGGAAATGGGAATACATACGGAGAGAAAATACGTCGGCCGATAAGGCCTGTATGCACGCTTGTGTGTAGGTACAAGGCGGAGCTGGAACTCTGAAATCTCCCAAACTATGTGGATTGGAAAGGTTATAACCTAGTGTTGTTGAAGTAGACGGCCTAATCTAATGGACTGGCAAGAATATGGTACTAACTACATCTCCATAAACATACGTAATGCGCTGGTCAGTTTGGTCGGTATGGGCGCCTGTAGTGCAGGTACCATGTGCGACTGAAATGCATTTATCTGCCAAATTACATAGATTAGATAGGTTAAAAAATGGTAGGGGGGTGGGGAATGGTTAAATTTAAAGGAAATGGGAACATATATGGTATTCACTATACGTGTACAGAGAGAATAATGTGTCGGCTGGTAAGGTCAGTATGCACGCTTGCGTGTAGGCATAAGGCGGAGCTGAAACTCTGAAATCTGCCAAATTATGTGGATCGGAAAGGTTTTAACCAAGTGTTGTTGAAGTAGAAGGCCTAATCTAGTGGACTGGCAAGAATATGGCACTAACTGCATCTCTACAAACATACGTAATGCGCTGGTCAGTTTGGTCGGTATGCGCGCCTGTAGTGCAGGGACCATGTACGACTGGAATGTATATATCTGCCAAATTACATAGATCCGATTGGTTAAAACATGGTAGGGGGGTGGGGAATGGTATCAGTTAAAGGAAATGGGAATACATACGGAGAGAAAATGCGTCGGCCGGTAAGGCCTGTATGCACGCTTGTGTGTAGGTACAAGGCGGAGCTGGAACTCTGAAATCTCCCAAACTATGTGGATCCGAAAGGTTATAACCTAGTGTTGTTGAAGTAGACGACCTAATCTAATGGACTGGCAAGAATATGGCACTAACTACATCTCTATAAACATACGTAATGCGCTGGTCAGTTTGGTCGGTATGGGCGCCTGTAGTGCAGGTACCATGTGTGACTGAAATGCATTTATCTGCCAAATTACATAGATTAGATAGGTTAAAAAATGGTAGGGGGGTGGGGAATGGTTAATTTTAAAGGAAATGGGAACATATATGGTATTCACTGTACGTGTACAGAGATAATAATGTGTCGGCTGGTAAGGTCAGTATGCACGCTTGCGTGTAGGCACAAGGCGGAGCTGAAACTCTGAAATCTGCCAAATTATGTGGATCGGAAAGGTTTTAACCAAGTGTTGTTGAATTAGAAGGCCTAATCTAGTGGACTGGCAAGAATATGGCACTAACTGCAGCTCTACAAACATACGTAATGCGCTGGTCAGTTTGGTCGGTATGCGCGCCTGTAGTGCAGGGACCATGTACGACTGGAATGTATATATCTGCCAAATTACATAGATCCGATTGGTTAAAACATGGTAGGGGGGTGGGGAATGGTATCAGTTAAAGGAAATGGGAATACATACGGAGAGAAAATGCGTCGGCCGGTAAGGCCTGTATGCACGCTTGTGTGTAGGTACAAGGCGGAGCTGGAACTCTGAAATCTCCCAAACTATGTGGATCGGAAAGGTTATAACCTAGTGTTGTTGAAGTAGACGACCTAATCGAATGGACTGGCAAGAATATGGCACTAACTACATCTCTATAAACATACGTAATGCGCTGGTCAGTTTGGTCGGTATGGGTGCCTGTAGTGCAGGTACCATGT